GCGCCTGATAGTGGTCACCCATCTAGGTTCTGACCAGGTTCGATGTTGCTTAACTTCGGTGATCGCACCGAAACCGGTGTTTCACCGTGATGTAGTCGTAAGCCTGTACGATTACAGTCTCCAGGTTGGAAGTTGGTTGATGGGGAGAAACGCACTTAGATGCTGGCTTTGATAAATGACCAAAGATTTATTTTTATAAAAATATGTCTCTGGTAAGCGGTATACTGTAGCGGGTTGAATGCGCGGTGTATTAGGTGTGAGGTGAGAGCGGGAAAAAGGAGTGTGCTTAAACACCCGATGACTGCTTGGTACTTATAGCTTTGTGATAGTCGCGCTGATAGGGTCCGTTCATTTACTGTGGAGGCCATTTGCAAAGCCTAATGCTCGGACGAGCACCCAGCCGTGCGTGCGTGAAGCCTCTCTCCGGTTTCTATTGGTGTCATTTTGTCCGGGTTCTTATAACCTATATAAGAGAAACGCACGGACATAGTTGAAAGAATCTGTGACAAACGAGATTCGCCTCTATAATGACTAGCAGCCTGATATACTTGCCTTTCTTTTAAAATTTGGGCGAGAACTGGTTGTTGGTTTGAAAAGGGTGCGAGAATTGGTTGGTGCGGACAAGGAAAAATGGTTAATGGACTACTAGGGTCACGTGATAATGTGCCCTACTCTTTATTCTGTTATCTTAATCGCTTTAAGAAATAAAAAAATAATCAAGAAGATTTTTTTTAATTCAATTAAATCAAATATTTTCCTTAAAAGTATTCACTGGGTAAAGAATAAAGAAAAGAAAGAGGAAAATTCCGTTAGAAACAAAGAAAAGAGTGCTGAATGGCTATGTAAGATCAGCCCTGCTATATGGCAATGAATGCTGGACAATCTCCTCGCAGATGAAGATGAGACTTCAAGCAATGTGGTCCTACAGGTGGATACTGAGAATACCATAGGCTGAACATGTGAATAATAAGGAGCTTTTAAGAATAATGGAGACAGGATGCATTGAAGAAAAAGAAGATCCCAATAGGATCAAAGAAAAGTTTTGGGTTGTTACGTAATATTTCGCCCCAAGCAAGGCAATAAAGACACTAAGACGCAAGGGATTGCTGTTGTGGCCTTATTAGGGCCAGAAATAAAAACACAAAGAGAGGAATTGAGTTAAACAAATATATTAACAGAAACAGTAATACAAACATATACAAACAAGAGTGTTACAGCAAGAATGTTCGGTCCGACTGTCAGAGCTGACTGCTGGAAACTTTCCTCACCAAAAGGCAGTACCTGCTCCTATTTATATCTGGGATGCCTGCGTGGATAAATTACCATAACAGTTACTAAGTGTGAGACAATATTAGAAAAAAAAAAACATTATTAAGGAAAGAAAACAACAAAAGAATTAAAGAAGACAGAAGATAATGATAAAAAACTGCATTTAAATTTTTGAAGATTAAAGTTTATTTAAAAGCAAGAAACCAGAAGAGAGTTCTATGAGTAAGAAGTACAAGAGAAGAAACTGCTAGCATAGAACTTACGGTTACATTTAGCCATTTCAACTATAATAAGATGAGACCTAGCTGCCAATCTAGTGCTGCGCTTAAATTCATAAAGTCTAGGTACCTTATAGGAATGTTCGTAAGAATAATTGCCATGAAATTATTTATAGAAAAGTCATAGAGAAGCTACATGACGACGGAGAGAAAGTCCCTGAAGCCGAGAGTCCATGTTAGGACCAATAATATTGCAGATTGTTCTTTGTATTTCATCAAGAATCTCTAAATATATTGCAGGGACATCGGACTAGATGTGGCAGCAACATTTAAAGCAAGGTCGAATGGTAGACTTATAAATATGTAACAGAGATTCTAGAGAGAAAAGCTGTCTAGGACCAACAATTTTCTGGCAGCGGACCTAACAATTAATTCAATATAAGCTTTCCACTTTATATTAGAGGAAAAACCTTCGTCTGAGAAATCATAATGAGTAACTCTCCTTGAAGTTAACATCAGTCATACTGATGGAAGGCAAAATGGGTTCTCTCAGATGATTAAAAGAAAGCAGTTCGTTTTGGAGGTGTTAAAATTAACAAACCATTCCTTGCCCGATTTAACAACAGAATGTAGGTCAGTTTTTGAGATCAGCCGCCAATTTAACCTTATCGAACCCCTGGAACATATTATTAAGACGGGAGTAAATAGTTGTGTCATCAGCGTAGATAGGGGTATATAACATCAAAGGTCAAGAGGCATTAGACAGTGAAATACGTCCACATGGTCAGGAAATGCTATTCACATATTGTTTTAACCAGAGCAAGGTATCCACCTCTGTCGAAGTCAAAGTTGTACTGACCAAATAGCCATTATGCTATGATTATATTTTATAGTCATTATCGATAGCAAGACATTTCAGTGACGATTTTACCTTTGAGGTATGCTTCTTTTTTCTTCCCATCTTTGCTAGAGACCGATATTTAGTGGCCATGAATTAATGAGAAGAATTTTTGGAGAATCTTCTTTCCTAGTTATTTTATTTTTTGCCAGGTCATTAAAACGTACATCACCAAGTAAGAACTTATTTAAAGACTTGATTATCTTTTTGCCAAAGCCTGATAATCTATTTATCATAGCCTGCTCAAATCTATCTATCTATCTATCTATCTATCTATCTATCTATCTATCTATCTATCATAGCCTGCTCAAATTTATCTAGATAGCTAGCTAACTAGCTAGCGAGCTAAGCCTGATCATATCTATCTCAGTTTGTTCATATGTATTTATTTCGCTTTGTTCGTATCTATCTCAGTCTGTTTCTATCTATCTATCTATCTATCTATCTATCTATCTATCTATCTATCTATCTATCACAGTCTGTTTATATATATATATATATATATATATATATATATATATATATATATATATATATAATTAAATATATTCTTTTTTATCTATCTCAGTCTCTTTCTTTCTAAGTGTATTGTATTCATCTATCTATCTATCTATGTATCTATCTATCTCAGTCTGTTTCTATCTATCTAAATCTATTCATTTCTATCTATCTCATTTAGTTCACTCTATGTATATATGTATGCATGTATGCACTCATCTTGTAAGTTAGGCCAGGATGTAGAAATACCAGGACTGCTGTCCAGGCATGTCGTAAGCAAACCGAGAATGTGGGACGTCATCGCCTTCTTTAAGGTGTCCAACTGTGGAGAAGGAAAACTGTGACGTAACAAGTCAAGCAGCTTGACAACATCCCATGATGTTAACAGATATTTCTTTTTGGGTACACGCTGTTCGGGATTAGAGTGTGAAATTGACCTTGTGAAATGTCATTCTCTACTTGAAAAAAAAAAAAGAAAAAACATGCACAGTCATTATTTGATATATTAAGATGCCTTTTTGTAGGCTGAATTATATCTTGTGAAGGCCATAATACTCAGCAACGTGGTGGCAACCATAATCCAGATATCTTATTTGTTTCTTCTCTCCCTCTCTTTCTCTCTCGCTATATATATATATATATATCAATCTCAGTCTGTTTCTTTATATCTATCTATCCAAATCTATTCATTTCTGTCTATCTATCTATCTATCTATCTATCTATCTATCTATCTATCTATCTATCTCAGTCTGTTCCTTTCTATCTATCTATCGCAGTCTGCTTCTATCTATCTATCTATCTATCTATCTATCTATCTATCTATCTATCTATCTATCTATCTCAGTCTGTTCCTTTCTATCTATCTATCGCAGTCTGCTTCTATCTATCTATCTATCTATCTATCTATCTATCTATCTATCTATCTATCTCAGTCTGTTCCTTCCTTTCTTTCTTTCCATCTATCTATCTATCTATCTATCTATCTATCTATCTATCTATCTATCTCAGTCTGTTCCTTTCTTTATTTCCATCTATCTATCTATCTATCTATCTATCTATCTATCTATCTATCTCAGTCTGTTCCTTTCTTTCTATCTATCTATCTCAGTCTGTTCCTTTCTATCTATCTATCTACCTCAGTCTGTCCCTTTTTTCTATCTATCTATCTATCTATCTATCTATCTATCTATCTATCTATCTATCTATCTCAGTCTGTTCCTTTCTATCTATCTCAGTCTGCTTCTATGTATCTATCTATCTATCTGTCTACCTCAGTCTGTTCCTTTCTATCTATCTATCTATATATCTATCTATCTCAGTCTGTTCCTTTCTTTCTTTCCATCTATCTATCTATCTATCTATCTATCTATCTATCTATCTATCTCAGTTTGATCCTTTTTTTCTATCTATTCAGCTAAATCTCTGGTTTTAAACGCGAAAAGTCTCAGCTAAACTCGCCTCACTACAAGCTGAGCCACGCCAGTCCTTTCCGCCCCAGTAGCAGAAGAATTTAACCCTAGCTGTAGTGGCAGCCACGAATTTCGACAACCAATAGTTGCAGTAGTTGTAGTATTGGTTGTTGGTGGTGTACTAGATTCCTGTGTCAGAAATTGTACCGTTTGCTCTCCATGCCCAAGGCTTGGCACTTGGAACCGATTGCAATTATTTAGGTGAGTGAATCTTAATCGATGTAATGTCGCCAAAAGATGAGGTCGGACTGAAAATGCCATTCAGAAGAAAAGATGTAGTCACCAAATGTCGCTGCTTTTACTATGTCAGGAATTCGAAGAATGTTATCTGAAAATAGGTTTTGTTTATTGACTCGGCCTTGTTTCCATCTAAGTCAGTCGAGACTGTGGAGGTAGGCTTAAAGAGCTGACACCGAGAAACGGTAATCTGTTCATAGACCCCCCACCCCCTCTGAATCTTTCTCTCTCTCTCTCTCTCTATCTCTCTCTCTCACCCTCTCTTGCTCTCATCTTCTCTCGTCTCATCATTGCCTTCTTTCTTTCTTTCGTTTGCACTTTGTTAGTCTTTTATATCTTTGTTTATATTCTATCTGTCTATCTATCTCAAGCTGTTTAGGTTCATTTTCTTCTCTCTTTCTGTCTGTCTGCCTGTCTATCTCAGTCTGTTCAAATCTATCTATCTATCTATCTATCTATCTATCTATCTATATATATATATATATATATATATATATATATATATATATTCATTATCTATCTTCCTATCTATCAATTTCAATCTATTCAAGTTTATGTTTTTTTTCATTTTTCTCCCTTTCTGTCTGTCTGTCACAGTGTGTTCAAGTCTATCTATCTATCTATCTATCTATCTCAGTCTGTTCATTATCTATCTATCTATCTATCTATCTATCTATCTATCTATCTGTCTGTTTGTCTGTCTGTTCAGATCTATATACCTATCTATCAATCTATCGCAGTCTGTTCAAATCTATCTATCTATCTATCTATCTATCTATCTATCTATCTATCTATCTATATATATATATATATATATATATATATATATATACACATATATTGCAGTCTGTTCAAATCTATCTATCTACTTCAATATCTATCTCAAGCTGTTCAAGTTTATCTATTTTTCTTTCTTTCCGTTTGTCTGTCTATCTCTCTCCATGTATTCAATATCTATCTATCTATCTATCTATCTATCTATCTATCTATCTATCTATCTATCTTTCTATCTGTCTATCTATGTATTTTTCTTTCTTTCTATCTATCTATCTTTCTTTCTTTCTTTCTTTCTTTCTATCTATCTATCTATCTATCTTTCTTTCTATCTATCTTTCTTTCTTTGTATCTATCTATCTATCTATCTATCTATCTATCTATCTATCTTTCTTTCTTTCTATCTATCTATCTATCTATCTATCTATCTATCTATCTTTCTTTCTTTCTATCTATCTATCTATCTATCTATCTATCTATCTATCTATCTTTCTTTCTTTCTTTCTTTCTATCTATCTATCTATCTATCTATCTATCTATCTATCTATCTATCTATCTTCCACTCTTTCTGTTTATTTGTCTCTCTAAGTTTCTCCCTATCCATCTATCTATCTATTCACATATGTTTAAATCTTTGATGCATTTATTATTATTAATATAGCAACGTGTATGCAAACCTCAATTCTGCATATGCATGTATATCCCCTTCGCTTAATTAATAACACAAACGTACTTATATACAATACATAAGTAAATATATGTGTATGTTCGAGTGTGTTCTTATAACATGTTTTCTTGTATTTATAAATTGCAATATATTACAGAGAAAACAATATTTAAAATTCAGATAGAGACGCCAAACTGGAGTTTAATGATTCTTGAAATCTACTGACAGCGTTGCTTCCTGGATATCTTAAACGAATTGCCTTCTGGCCACACATTCACCCATATATATATATATATGTCAAATATGTGGTGCAGTTCAATTTATATTACAATGAATCATTCACACAAAAAGTTATTTCTGTCACAGTAATATATATTTACTATATATATTTCATATACAGTGTAACCCGGATATAAGAGAGTTGTCGTGAGCGGAGAAGAAGTCTCTTATATCCGGGTTTCTCTTATATCCGGGTCTGGTCTATTTTGTTTACATTAATACAGGCTCTAATTTGGGACCAGAGAAAATCTCTCTTAGATCCGGGTTTCTCTTATATCCGGGTTACACTGTATATAGTAAAATGATATAAAACGCCCTCTCTTAAATTTTCAAAACAATTTCACCTTAGTGTTGCGACTGCACACCCCCCAAAAGTTTGTATCGGTTATCAATAATACATTTCAAAAGAATATATTTCGATTCGCATTCTATTTTTTCGTCTCGGATGCTACCTGAATTTTACCAAAACAAAATAATTTCCATGCCTGAAGATCACTGAATGTACAGTCGAAATTAGTCACGTATTTACGAAAGACCTTATGCAGCTTATAATTTAAAAAACAACAACAAAAAACAACAACAAAAAACAAGGATTATAACATCGAGTGATTTGAAGGTTAATACATCTTTAAAATTTTGTTAGCGAAGGGATTTCGCTATTTTATATCATTAACTTTACTAAATTACTTTTTATATGAATAATTCATTGTAATATACACACACACACACACACACACACACACACATATATATATATATATATATATATATATATATGTAAGCAAATGTAAATGGATATAGATCCGACAGAATGAAGAAAAATTTGGAAAAAACAAACAAAAATCCTTAAATACAATTATATTTATTTAAAATGAATGAAATGTCGACGTCTGACGTTTCGGTTTAATAAACCTTTTTCAAGACAATATTCATTAAAATACAATTCAGTTCAATTTGACAAAGACGATGGACATAAAAAAGTCTTATCCAAAACAGATAACTAACATGACCATGCTAAATGGAAAGCTGATCATTTTAAAAATTTTCAGTTATCTGTTTTGGATAAGACTTGTTTTTTATGTCCATCGTCTTTCAAATTGTTTTTAATGAATATTGTCTTGAAAAAGACTTATTTATGTCAGACGTCGACATTTTCATTCATTTTAAACAACATAATTGCATTTAAATTT